CCTTATCCTTACAGCTCTGAGATATATATCATCTGCTAGCCCATGAGCTTCATTCTCCTACTTTGCCCTAAACATGCAGTTCCCGATAAACATGTCTCATCCCTCCTCTGATAGTAGAAGAAAGAGAAGAGTGCACATGACAGTGACAAGGGAGACTACAGCTACACCGTCACCGGGTGGGATGGTGGTGGGCAGCAGGCAACAAATGCCTATTGTTCCTGTTCAGGGTGGCTAGCATGCAAGGTCACATGCTCCGCAGTAAGAGACCTTCCAAGCTGTTCTCAGTCAGCCTGTGCCCTAACCATCTGCAGTGCTGTGCCTACCCTTAATTATTTCTTTGGTTCATCAGCTCTCTCCTCACCCTCCATCCCACCCCTTGCTGCTGCCAGTTACAAGCATGATTGTCCTACCCACTCCCCAGCCTCTTATTTTTGCACCCTTTAAAGTATAATCTAGATACAAAAAGTGCCCACATCGTAAGTGTACAGCTCCATACATTTTTATGGACTGAACAGGTCCGTGTAACCAGCATCCAAAATGAGAGGCAGAATACTACCAGCATCCCTTAACTCCCACCCTGTGTTTCCTTCTATTCCCCCACCTCCAAAGGTAACTATTATCCTGACTTCAAATACTATAGATTAGTTTTGCCCGTTTCAAACTTTATAATGGGAAATCACACAGCGAATACCTGTCTGTGTCTGGTTCCTTTTTCTTTTTTTCTTTTCTTGAGAGAGGTTCTCACTCTGTCACCCAGGCTGGAGAGCCGTGGTGCCACCTCGGCTCACTGCAGTCTCGACTTTCTGAGTTTAAGCGATCCTCCCGCCTCGGCCTCCGAAGTAGCTGGGACCACAGGGGCAAGCCGCTGCACCTGGCTGATTTTTTTTTTTTTTTTTTTTTTGAGACAGAGTCTCACTGTGTTCCCCAGGCTGGAGTGCAGTGGTGCAATCTCAGCTCACTGCAAGTTCCACCTCCCGGGTTCACGCCATTCTCCTGCCTCAGCCTCCCGAGTAGCTGGGACTACAGGTGCCCGCCACTTGGCCCAGCTAATTTTTCTGTATTTTTAGTAGAGATGGGGTTTCACCGTGTTAGCCAGGATGGTCTCGATCTCCTGACCTCAGGATCCACCTGCCTCGGCCTCCCAAAGTGATGGAATTACAGGCATGAGCCACCACACCCGGTTGCCCTGGCTAATTTTTTAAAATATTTTTGTAGAGTCAGGGTCTCGCTATGTTGCCCAGGCTGGTCTCAAACTCCTGGGCTTCAGCGATCCCTCCCATCTTGGTCTCCCAAAGTGTTGAGATTCCAGACCGGAGCCACCACACCTGATCAGGCTTCCTTTGCTCAATATTATGTTGTTGAGACTCAGTCATGTTGCTTCATGTAGTTGCAGACTCTTCACCCTTTTCGCTTCATGATATCCCTTTGTTTAAAGATGCCGTGATGGGTTCACCCACTTTGTTGTTGCTGGGCATTTCCAGTTTGGGTATTTTGAAAGTAGTGCTGCTGTGAGCATTCTTATAGACGTTTTTGGTGAAGCTATATATGCATTTTTGTTGGGTGTGTGCCTAAGAGTCAAATTTCTAGGGCCATGTGGCCTAGGCCTGTTCAGTTTTAATAGATACTGCAGAACAGTTTCCTAGGATGGAAACGGTTATACACAGCGGTGTGTGAGCTTCCTGTTTGCTCCACATCCTCGTTAACAGTATTTTCTATCTTTTCACTTTAACTATTTGGTGGAAGTGTAGTAGTGTGACTATTGTTTTCATTTTAATCTCCCTGCTGACTAAGGAAATTGAGAGAATTGGATTTTTCTTTTCTTTTCTTTTTTTTTTTTTTTTTTGAGACAGGGTCTCGCTTTGTTGCCCAGGCTGGAGTGCAGTGGTGCAACCATAGCTCACTGCAGCCTTGACCTCTTGGGCTCAGGCGATCCTCCCACCTCAGCCTTCCAAGTAGCTGAAATTGCAGGCATGCACCATCACACCTGGCTATTTTTTTTTTATTATTTTCTGTAGAGATGGTGTCTCACTTTGTTGCCCAGGCTAGTCTCAAACTCTTGGGCCCAAGCAGTTCTCCCACCTTGGCCTCCCAAAGTGCTGGGATTACAGGCACGAGCCGCCTCACCTGGCCAGGATTGCGTCAGCCCGCAGCCCAGGGCTCCGGGGGTCCCACTCAGACCCAGGTAGTCTTCCACAGAGGCCTGGCCCTTGCTTACTCTCTGTGGACTTTGGGGCTTCCCACCCAGGCAGCCTCGTGGGAGTGGAGGGGCTGTGATCTGGGGAAGAGCACATTTACTCCTGATGGAGTCAGCTCTCAAAATAGTCAAAAATTCATGGCTGTCATAAAAATTTAAACCCTCTTCCCCAGCTCTCTGGAACTTTGATCAAAGATGCTAATATTTGACTGATGTGCTTGGTGAGGGATTGTTCACCATCGGGACAAAGAGCTTATGATCAACGAATTTGCCAAGATAAAGCTATGCATTGGGTTGTGGTTGGAGAAACCCATACTCACATTGCACACCTTGGGCAGCCCCTCAATCATCTGACCCTTCCTGGCAGGCCACTATTCCTGTGGTCCCGGAAGGGAGGAAGACCCAAAGGCCATTCCATAGAGACACTAGCCACCCCAGCACCGTTATCCTCTCAAGTTTCTTACCCTCCATGAGAGTCCTGTGGACTCAGAGCGTCTTGGTATGGTCATTTTTGTATGTGCTGCTGCTGACTTTTTCCCCAAGTAAAATCTTTTTCTTTGGGTATTGGGGAAAGTGGTGCAACATTTGGAGGGAGGGCTCTACAGAAGTAGTTAGATGTTATCTGCATTTTCCTTTTTATTCTTGACACGATTCTAATCCCCCCACATTTTTTTCTGGACATCTCCTTCCACACTGATGGTGAGAATTCCTTAAGGCAGAACTTAATAGCTGTGTTGCCGGTCTTCAGCTGTTGCGGTGTGGGTTCCTGGGAATAGCACATTCACTCTTATGGAGTCAGTTCTCAAATCTGTCCAAAATTCATGGCTATATTGAAAATGTAAACACTCTTCCCCGGCTCTCTAGAACATTCATCAAAGATGCTAATATTTAACTAATGTACTAGGTGCACGGTTGTTCACCATCAGCATAAAGTGCTTGTGAGCAATGCATTTGCCAACATGCAGGAAAGGAAGAGGAAGAAAGGCAAAGTCTAGATCATTCCCAAGTTCAGCATCAGCCCCTGAACAGTTGAGAATTAACTGCCTTCGCTCTGTATTTTCCCCTTAGTTTCAGTAGTTTTCGTCATTTTTCAAAGGCATAACCAACCTCCCAGTTGGGCCCACAGTGATTGAGAGCGCATCTATCTCCCTTACAAGAAAGAGGGCATGGTGCCAGGGCCTCGTGACAGCCCCAGCTTCCACTCCCCCACTCCCAGGCTGGTTTCATTTCTCTTCTCTTTGCCCTTTGGCTTTTCTCTTCTCAGAAATTTCCATTTTCCTTGCACCAAACGTATTAAAATTTAACAGTCACAGCATCTCAGTGTGTGACACGTGATAGCTGTCCCGATAACTTCATTTTCCTCTGTCATTGAAGAGGCCATTTTCAAAGTCACCCTGAACCATGAACAATTCTCACATAATGGCTATTTGATTCTGTTTGTACACTGAAATTTTTGTCCTTTTGTCTCCTCGAGTCTGCTTTCCTTGGCCTACTACTACTAATACTATAATATGGGAAATAATAGTAATGTAGGACAGTTTTAATTCTCTCCTCTAAGAAGTGGCCTATGCTGGAGAATGAATACTTGAGTCTCCCCTGTCCCCATCCCAGGCCACCCCATCTCTCTCAATTCCTCATTAAGTGGCTTCCAAGGATGGAGAATGAGGATGAGAAGACCAAATGTCTGGCATCTGCCTTGCGGAGTGGGCTACGGCCATTGGAGTTGATCTGAGGAACTGTGTAGGGGGAGAGGGGGAAGAAATATGGGGTAGGTTTTGGTGGAAGGGTCTTCAGGAAATGAAAAGAGATGTTGAAAGAAAAGTTCTGTGAGATTTTGCTATCCGGTGTATGATTTCCTGATTTCCACCCCACTCCAGCCCTGCCAAATCTCTTGTTTATTTATTTATTTATTTATTTATTTATTTATTTATTTATTTTTGAGATGGAGTCTTGCTCTGTTGCCCAGGCTGGAGTGTGGTGGTACGATATCGGCTCACTGCAAGCTCCACCTCCCGGGTTCAAGCAATTCTCCTGCCTCAGCCTCCCAAGTAGCTGGGATTACAGGTACCTGCCACCACACCTGGCTACTTTTTGCATTTTTAGTAGAGATGGGGTTTCACCATGTTGGCCAGGCAGGTCTTGAACTCCTGACCTCAGGTGAACCGCTTGCCTTGGCCTCCCAAAGTGCTGGGATTACAGGCGTGAGCCACCATGCTCGGTCAAATCTCTTGTTTAGTTTCGTGATTAATGTGTAGCAGAGTGAGGTACCTATTCTAGGGAAATGGTTTAGTGCCAGACGTGACTTCAGGGTGAGCAGAGACCATGAGTGGAGGTGAACTAAGCCCCGCCCCAGCCTCTCTGCTCCAGTTAGTTTAAAATCGCCTCCCTCAACGTGTGACCAGGGAACATAAAGTGCTCTGGGACTCTGGGATATAGGAGTTAGTCTAAGATGAGAAAACTACCACCATCTCCTCGGGATCTCATCTACACAGGGAACCTGTGCACTCTCCGGTCCCCTCAAGCCCAGGTGCGCTGTGAGGTTTGACAGGTGTCATCTCTGGGGTTTCTAAAAGACTGCCGCTAAAGGATGCTTTGTGAAAAGCTGGTTTTCCTTATCAGACACGAATCACTTAACTCTCTCCTTGTACCCAGATGGCTAAATTTGGTTTATATGATCTCGCTGTGACCTTCTCTTGAACAGCTCTGAGCGTGCTGCCAAAATGAAAATGAACAATGTCAGTGCCGTGATGTCCAGTTGAGCTGTGACCTGGATTCTGGCCTCGCATACACAGAAGCAACTGAAAGCTGAGAACAAGGGGCCACCAATGGCTACGTTGCGGGGGGGGATTGTATTACTTGAGCCCATCCCTTGAAAAGCTTAGGAGTCCACCACCTCCACTGGGAACTCATCAACTCCTGACAAGAAGAATGTCCCTGGGCACGGGGGACAGGGATCAGCTGTCCGAGGTGAGAGTCCTCCCTGGTGAGCCCACACCTCCACATGGGGCACTACAGGCTGTGAAGAAAGGTGAGCGAGATGACAGTGTCGCTGCTGCTCCAGAGAATAGGATGTGGGGACCCATCTGGCCTCGGCCCCCACACCTCTCGCTCCCTGCTCTCTTGGTGCCAAGGCTTGACTTGCCTGTGAAAGGAAATGAGAAAATCACCTTGGAATTAAAAGACCAGTAACAAATAGTCAACCTTGGAAGGGTCAGGCTGAAGATTCTTTTGGAAATATAGATGGAGGATCCCTTTTTCAGAATGCTTGGGACGAGAAGTGTTTTGGATTTTGGACTTTTAGATTTTGGAGTATTGTCATGATATTTACTGGTTGAGCATCTTAGATCTGAAAATCTGAAATCCAAAATGTTCCGATGTGCGTCTCCTTTGAGCATCATGTCCGCCCTCAGAAAGTTTTGCATTTTGGAACATTTTGGATTTTTGGATTTGGGATGCTCAAACCTGTATTAGGTTGTACCACATAAAACTGCCACTGTTGGTCATTTTTGACCAGCAAAAATGTCAGTTTCATGTGGTTCAAACTGACATAACGATGATTCCCCTTCTAAGTCTTCCCACTGCATTTGGAATAAAGACAATTTTTTTAATTTTATTTTTTTTCTTTTGAGACAAGGTCTTGCTCTGTTGCCCGGGGTGGAGTGCACTGGTGCCATCATAGCTCACTGTAGCCATGAACAACTGAGCTCAAGAGATTATCTTCTCAGTCTCCTGAGTAGCCGGGACTACAAGTGCATGCCATCAGGCCTGGCTAATTTTTATTTTTTGTAGAGACAGCGTCTTACTACATTGTACAGTCTGCTCTCAGACTCCTGGGCTCAAGTGATCCTCCTGTCTCAGCCTCCCAAAGTGCTGGGATTACAGGTGTGATTGGCCTAAGACCAAATATTCTTGACTGAGCCCACTGGGCTCCCCCAACTGTCTGTCCAGCTTCACGGCTATACTTCCTGATCCTGCTATTCTCCTAACAACCTCTCCATCTCTTAGTCTTCCTCATTCTATGCCTTTCCTGGAGGATCGCCTCTCTTCGCCAAGTAATTCACCCTTTAGATATGTGTTCGAATGCCGATTTCATGGGAAGTCTTTTCTGATTAGGCTTTTCTGCTCCTCAATGTACTCAGAGCACCTTCACTTTCCCTAGGAGGTGTGATCTCGACTTGTATTGATGTGTCAGTGTCCGTGTTGGATGCTTGCCTCTCCCCAACGGGGCCCTGCAGCCAGACACCGGGCGGTCCCTCCCTGTGATTCGTTTCATGGAAGCTTTGCCTTGTTGACGCATGTTTGAATGCTCTGTATTGACATAACAATTTGCATGACCATATGATATAGCATTTTGCATCCTCTGTTCAATAAGAACCTTAGCAACAGCCCTCAGACCCTCAGACTCAGAGAAAGTAATCAGAGGGCCCTGCCTTTTCTTTGCATCTCCTTCACCTCTGCCACTACCAGTAGGGCCTTACGCCAGCCTGGCTCCCTGTCGAGACTTGTGGTGTCACCTCACTAGATTGAGTCTTGGAGGCAGAAACTGCTTGTCAGTCATTGCACACGACATGAGGGAGGGCAGTGGTGAGTGCAATGAACACAGTAGACATTCGACAAATATTTGTTGTCTGCATGAAACCTTAAGACAAGAGAGGTAAAAGCTTTATTACCTTTGGGCTGGAAATCCCTTCACTCTAGGAAAACTTCCCCAGCCCCAAGGGCCCATGCAGCTTCCGCCTACTCAAGTAAGTCTTTGCCTGTACCAGTTATCTAAAATTGAAAAATCAGTGACTTACCAAAATAAGTTGCACAAGTCTATGGGCTGGTGCGGTGCTTATTGCTGGGCTAGGCGTGGCTGCTTTCGGCTGGGCTGGCTCAGTCATCTGCTGTCAGCTGCGTGATCAAAGGTGGCCTCAGTTGGGTTGTGTCAGCCCTGCTCCTCATGGTCCTTCTCCAGCAGGCTGGCTTGGCCTTGTTCATATGGGGACTGCAGGGCTTCAATAAGAAGTATAGAAGTTATAGCCTCTTGAGGTCTAGGCTCAGAACTGCCTGGCACCCTGTTACTTCTTCACATATCACTGACCAACCCAAGTTGCAGGGCCAGTGCAAATTCCGGAGATGGGACATAGATGCTACCCCTTGTGGGAGGAGAAAGTTATATTGCAGAGGGTGTGATTCAGGGAAGGATAAAAATTGGGCCCTTTTTTGCCTTCCAGCTTCCACATGTCCCCATATACAGGGAAACTCTCTTAAAAACCAAGTCATTACAATGATATTAGCCCACTGAATAATCAGAATTCGCTGGACAGGCATTTAGATATAAATGAGGCTGGAGCTGAGTTTGGGTGGGGTTCACTGGATTCTCTCCCCAGACTCCTTGTGTATGTAAGGTCAAAATTGAGGTAACAGCACAGTATTGCAGGTCTGTCTGGCATTGTACCTGTAGTCCCCGAAGTGAGTATTTCTGAAGAGGAGTCAGAAAGAAAGCAAAGCAAATCAGAATAAGAAAACTCTAATTTCCCCTTTAGAGTGGTAAAATCTTTTTTTTTTTTTTCTTTTAGAGACGGAGTCTCTGTCGTGCAGTGGTGTGATCTCAGCTCACTGCAACCTCCGCCTCCTGGGTTCAAGCGATTCTCCTGCCTCAACCTCCCTAGTAGCTGGGATTACAGGCACCTGCCACCATGCCTAACTAGTTTTTGTATTTTTCAGTAGAGATGGAGTTTCACCATGTTTGCCAGGCTGGTCTCGAACTCCTGACCTCAGGTCATCTGCCTGCCTCAGCCTCCCAAAGTACTGGGATCACAGGCGTCAGCCACCACACCTGGCCTATAACGTTAAAATCGTAATTAGGTCTATAGACCAGTTAGCAGCTTCCTGCTGATGTGCTGTATCCTGCACTGTACAGTTAGTGTTGCAGGAATCAGGATGGTGAAGGGTATACAGGACCCTCTCAGTATTATTTTTGCAACTTCCTATGAGTCTACAATTATTTCAAAATACTGAGTTAAAAATAACTGGAATATGTACATTGTTAGTTTGTACAATTATAATTAAGCACGTGCCACTGCCTGGCGTTTACAAATTGCTAACTGGCACCGTCACAACTTCTTCATGTCAGCATCTATCAGCTCACTCCCATGTTGTTACTTGGTCTCCCAGGGAAAACAGCCACTAAGAAAAGAGGGAAAGAAACAACAGGCACCTTCTCTTTTGTTACTTTATTTCTCACATTAAACCTTTTCACTTTATCTACATATATATATATGTATATATTATATGTATGTGTATATATCTATATATAATTCTTTTAAATTAAATTATTGATTACTGGACTATTACCTGATAAATTATGTATGGAAAATGTCACCAACTGCAATGAACTTCATTTGTTTAGTCATGTAAATACTATAAAGTTTAAACGTATCTATTTCTTTTAACTTGTTTTCCCGTTGAATTTAATAATACGGTTTCTTTTTTCTTCCTTATCTGAATCTGAAATCCAAAACCTTTGAGGTTAGAATTCCAGAATCAGCAGTCAGGGCTAACTACCCTTTGGGCTGATGTATGGCTAAGCAAGGATTGGCTGGGGGACCTGGGAGAGGGCTGGCTCCCCTCTCTGCTCCGCCACCATAGCTGATTTCTGTCTGATACCCAGTTTGAGGACCAGGGGATGCCCAGGTCTTGCATGCATGCTTTTTCGTCTATCCCGGGACTCAGTACTTCATGGGGAATGCCTCCCAGCCTCAGTCATCATCCTTTGAGATAAGGCAGAATTTCCCAAGCTACCGTTTAGAAGAACCCTCTCTAGGAGGTTAATAGATATTATATAGCGTGTCCGGCCACGGTGGCTCACACCTGTAATCCCAGCACTTTGAGACGCTGAAGTAGGCAGATTACTTGAGGCCAGGAGTTTGAGACCAGCCTGGCCAACATGGTGAAACCCCATCTCTACTAAAAATACAAAAAATTACCCAGGTTCGTGGCGGGCACCTGTAATTCTAGCTACTCAGGAGACCGAGGCAGGAGAATCGCTTGAACCCGGGAGGCAGAGGTTGCAGTGAGCAGAGACTGTACCACTGCAATCCAGCCTGGGAGATAGAGTGAGACTCCGTTTCAAAAAAAGAAAAAAGGTGTTATATAGGGTAAGAGACGTTCCATTTTCAGCTATGTTTGGAAAGATAATACATCACAATCATTGGACACATTTGATAAATATGCTCTACATTTTGAAGTATTAAAGGGCACCACCCTAATTTTTTAAAATAGATTTTTGTAAATGTGAGGTCGTGCCATATTGCCCAGGCTGCTCTCAAACTCCTGGCCTCAAGCAATCCTTGCACCTCAGCTTTCCAAAGTGCTGGGATTACAGGTGTGAGCCACTGTGCCTGGCCAACCACCCTAAATTCAAAATCAACTTTCATAAGAGGATCTGACCTCAATAATGTACATTAAGGCATCATTACATTAGGGTTTTTTTTTTTTCATTGCATTATCTTTCCCAGGAATGTTTGCTTTTAAAGATGCTAATGGAAAAATTAAAGTTAAATTATTTTTAGGATGTACAGGCATAGGATGGAGGTATTTCAGGGAAGGCATGGAGGGAAAACAGCTAAAATCACACCTCTCAGCTGGCTGCTGAATGCCCCCAAGCATGAGCCTCTCTCCCAGGTCCAGCTCTCCACCCTCACGGCTCTGTCCCTGTGAGTTGATGGCTGCCCGCTCTGTACTATGGCACCTGACCTCTCTCACGAGCTCTTCCACACCCATGTGTCCAGCTGCCAATGGCTCCCAATCTCTTGGATGTTCAAATTCAACATAGCCAACACCACCTAGGCATGGTGGCACCCGCCTGCAGTACCATCTATTTGGGAAGCAGAGGTTGGAAGATCACTTGAGCCTGGGAGGTCGAGGCTACAGTGAGCTGTGATCACACCGCTGCACTCCAGCCTGAGCAACAGAGCAAGACCCTGTCTCTATTTTTAAATAAACAATCCGAATAGAAAGCCACTTCTGTCTTTCTACAGCTAAAACGTGTTCTTCCCCTAGTATTTTCTGTATCAGTAGGTAACACCATTTTCTACCCATTTGCCCAAGACAGAAATTTATTTAGGTCAGATTTATTGAGGTATAATTGACATAGAGTACATTTGCCATTTTAGTTCACAGCTCTGTGAGTTTTAATAAAAGCTTATAGTCATATAACCACTTCCATACTCAGGGTACAGAACAGTTCCACCACCCCTAAAGCTTCCCTCATGCCCTTTGTACCCAAATTGTGTCCCAAGCCCCTGTGCATGGAAACAACTGATCTGTTTTTTGTCCGTGTAGTTTTGTCTTTTCCAGAATGTTCTATAAATGGAATTATATACTATGTAGCTTATTCATCTTTGTTATTGTGTTGGTGATTCATTCTTATTTTTTGTTGAGTAATCCACCATCTAATTTTGAGCCATGTAAAATGTTCTTTCTCTTTTATTCCTTACCACATCCAACGTCCTGACAATTCTACCTTCTAAATCTCTAGCAAAGACATAGAATCAACCTAGACGCCTATCAGTGCTGGACTTGATGAAGAAAATGTGGTGCATATGTATCATGGAATACTACACAGCCATAAAAAAGAATGAGATCACATTCTTTGTAGCAACATGGATGGAGCTGGACGCCATTATGCTAAGTGAACTAACACAGGAAGAGAAACCAAATATCACATGTTCTCACTTATAAGTGGGAGCTAAACAATGAGTACACCTGGATACAAAGATGGGAACAACAGAAACCAGGGCCTACTTGAGGGTGGAGGGTGGGAGAAGGGTGAGGATCAAAAGCCCACTGATTAGGTACTAGGCTTTTTACCTGGATGATGAAATAATCTGTACAACAAACGTCTTGCAAAAGGAAGCTCATGAACTTGCATTCTCCTCCCATTTGGCTTTTAATGGGGACTACAAATGTTCTTGGCTGGAAGTGGAAGTGGGAACGGACTGGCCCTTCCCCTCCCTTTTGCGCACATCTCAGGATGTAGAGCATTTCTGGAAGCCTGACGCTGGGCCTGTGTCCTGGGGGTAGACACATCACTAGCCAGTCTTAGAAGGAAAAGAGGCAGCGAAGGTGTCTGATTGCACAGGCCAGGGTGTCTTTCAGTGCTTCCTCGTTGAGTTTCAAATGGTCTGCCCACTCCCCACTTCCAGTTTTTAGGATTTTTTTTTTAACTTTAAAAACGTTATTGACACAGGTTCTCCCTCTGTTGCCCAAGCTGGAGAACAGTGGCACAATTGCAGCTCATTGCAGCCTCGACCTCCCCAGGCTCAGGTGATCCTCCTGCCTCAGCCTCCTCAGTAGCTGGGACTGCAGGTGCACACCACCATGCCCAGCTAATTTTTTTTTTTTTTTTGTAGAGACAAAGTTTCACCATATTGCCCAGGCTGGTCTCAAACTCCTGGGCTCAAGAGATCTGCCTGCCTTGGCCTCCCAAAGGGCTGGAATTACAAGCAACAGCCACCACACCCAAGCCCCAGTTTTTAGAATTTTTGAACTCTACCCCTGGGGGTCTCTTCTTTGCAAGTCCTGGATTAACAACAATGTAGTAATTTATGGTCACTGGGGGCCCCCGGAGGCTCTGTGCTGCTTCTTAAAACACCTAAAAACTTTGAATAGAAAGGAGTGATGCAATTTGCTTTTAATGATTCCTGGTAGCTTGTAACTTGTAGACCTTGGGATCGTTTGCTTGTGATTTTAACAGTGGGATGCTTTATTATTAGTATTTCACTTCTAACAATTAGCTCTATTATTATTTGTTACCAAGAGCAGAGTGTTTGGAGTGAGTGTAAGCAGAGGGCACATTGCTGTCTTAAACTTCCTCAGCTCCAGCCAATGTCCAGAGGGCGTAGGCAGCCAGGATGCATTTCATGAGGCGGTAGTGGAGGTTACAGATGGCATCTCTCTGATTGTTTATGTCCATCTTGTACACGTCGTTTAATATTTTGGATATTACCTCTGCTATGATCCAAATGGCATGGTCTGAGGGATCTCTCAGTTTCCCCAATTCTTCCCTCTCACTGCTAAGAAGCATGCAGCAATTCATTACCATTCTTCTATTCTTTTATCTTATCGTTTTCTTTCCTCTGGGATGCAAATTCCTTTTTGCATGAGGAGATGAGGGGACATATAAGCCTTACCAGTAATTTATAGCATCAATGGATTGCACAATAGAAGGCTCAAAAAAGCAAAGCAGAATTGATGGTTTCTGGGGACAGGACTTTTCCATGCAAGGGCAACTGTGTATTTCTTTTTCATGGCGACATGTACCTTTCGAGAAGTGGTAAGGTCCACTCTCAGGCCAAGCTACAGTTTATGTGCACGATGGCAAACAGTGGAAAATTCAGTGGGAGATAAATGGATGTCATGCAGAGGCGTGAATTCCAGACACCTCCTGCTTGGCCGAATCCTGGGGCAGGAAATGTAAGCTTCACTGTGGAGCTAAAACCTGGATACTCTAAAATGGCATCAGCCAGAAGATGTGCATTTCAAGAGGAGGGTGGTGGTCAGTGCTGCCAACTGCTTCTTCATGGTCGAGAAAGATGAAGATGCAAAATGTTCTGATTTATCTTGAGGCCTTTCTCCTGCACAACTCGGTGTTTTTCATTAAATTTGGGTAATATTATAGTTTTCAAGTTTGTAAAAAATGCAGGTTTATTAAAATTTACCCTTTTAAAATTTGTATTTTATTTATTTTATTTTTTATTTTTATTTTTTGAGACAGGGTCTCACTCTTACCCAGGCTGGAGTGCAGGGGCCTGCTGTCAGTCTTGACTTCCTGGGCTCAAGCCATCCTTGTACCTCTCACCCTCCAAAGTAGCTGGGACTACAGACGTGCACCACCACACATGGCTAATTTTTTTGTATTTTTAGTAGAGACAGGGTTTCACTATGTTGCCCAGACTGGTCTCGAACTCCTGGTCTTAAGTGATCCTCCCACCTCAGCCTTCCAAAGTGTTGGCATTGTAGGTATGAGCCACTGCTCCTGGCCAAATTTACCCTTTAGTGTATATTTAATGTATATTTGTGGCTGTGGATTTGTCATAGATGGTTCATACTATTTTAAGGTATGTACCTTCTATGCCTAGTTTGCTGAGTGTTTTTAACATGAAGAGATGTTGAATTTTATTAGAAGCCTTTTCTGCATCTTTTGAGATGGTCATGTGGTTTTTGTTTTGAGTTCTGTTTATGTGGTGAATCACATTTTTTGGTTTGTGTATGTTAAACCAACTTTTGTCCCAAGAATAAAGCCTACTTGATTGTGATGGATTAGTTTTTTGATGTGCTGCTGGATTCAGTTTGCTAGTATTATGTTGAAGAGTTTTGTGTCTATTTTCGTCAAGGATATTGACCTGAAGTTTTCTTTTTGACTATTTTAGGTACTTTCCATGGATGGAATCATGCAGTTTGAAAAAACATGTGCAGTCACGAAAATACCATCATTTGCAAATCCTTGTGTCCAGTCATGTGAATATTTTTTGTGATGGAAATCAAGGAAGATTTCTGTCACCCAAAAAAGGTCCCTTGGGTCCCTGACAAGCACTGATCTGGTTTTTATCCCTATAGTTTTGCTTTTTCCCGAATGCCATGGAAATAGAATCATACAGCTTGGAATCCTTTGAGTCTGGCTCCCTTCACTTAGTATAATGCCTTTGAGATTCATTCAAGTTGCTGCACCTATAACTGCTTCATTCATTTCTATTGCTGAACAGTATTTCAGTCTATGGATGTTCCTTAATTTGTTTAGCCATTCACAAATTAACAGATAGTTGGTTGTTTTCTTTTCTGAGCTATTGCAGATAGAGATGCTATAAATATTTGTGTACAGGTTTTTGGGCAAACATATGCTTTCATTTCACTTGGTTAAATATCTTGGAGTAGAATTGTTGGGTCATATGCTAAACAGAAAAAAAATGTTCTTTCGTGTTAAAATTCAGCTACTGCAGGATCTTTTGCTTTTAAAATACTATACACAAAGAAGCTATAATACTTTTTCTTAATTTAATGCTATTTGCCTTAAATCCTATATTCCATGCGTAATATTTCTTCACATTTGAAGCTTTATTTTTTTGAAATTATACTGTTAATGTGTGTACATGATTTTTGTCAGGGGCCAAAATTCTGTGTGTGTCACCAGCACCTTGTATAGGGCCGGGCACATAGTAACCACATAGGAAATAGTTTTGAACAAATGAATGTATTAACATATGTTGTACTCCCACTTTCTTTTTAATCTCATTTGTTCAATTTGTATTTGTCCTTCCTTTTATTTTGAATCACTGTCTCTGATTTATGGTGGTTCTTGGAATTTCCCACCAATTAGAGGGACTTTGTCTTTTTAGTAGGGAAATTTTAATCATTCTGATATTGTTATGGGTGCCCTCACTCTTGTTAACTGTTTTGATTAATTCTTTCCTGCTTGTTTGTTTATCTCTCTCTCCTCTCTTTGTCTCTCTCTTCTCTCTCCTCTCCTTCTGTCTCTCCCTTCTCTCCTCTCTCTCTCTGTAGTCTCTCTCCCTTCTCTCTCTCTTCTCCTCTTTCTTCTCATCTCTCCTCTCTCTCACTCCTGTCTCCCTTCCCCTCCTCTCCTCCCCTCCCCTCCCCTCCCTTCCCCTCCCCTCTCCTCTCCTCTCCTCTCGTCTCCTCTCCTCTCTCTTTCTGCTCCCCCATCTCTCCTTCTCTCTCTCCCCTCTCTCTTCCCTCTCTCCTCTCTCTTCTCTCAAGGAGGCTTTGAGCAGAGACTATGAGGTTTTCTAGGTATAGAATCGTATCATCTGTGAAGCAAGATAGATAGTTTGACTTCCTCTCTTCCTATTTGGATGCCTTTTATTTTTTTTCTCGTGCCTGATTGCTTTGGCTAAAACATCCAGTACTATGTTGAATAGGAGTGGTGAGAGTGGCATACTTTTTCTGTGTGATACACATATACATATATACTCACAAGCATATACATGTAGCTATATATATGTATATTTATTATATATATATATATATAGAAAGAAAATAGGATAGAATGAGGGATTATTTAATCTAGGTTTATTTTAAACTGCAACAAAGACTTATATTGCATCCTTGTCTTGTTCCAGTGCTCAAGGGGAATGCTTTTGGATTTTGCCCTCTCGGTATGATGTTGGCTGTGGATTTGTCATAGATGGTTCATCTTATTTTAAGGTATGTACCTTCTATGCCTAGTTTGCTGAGTGTTTTTAACATGAAGAGATGTTGAATTTTATTAGAAGCCTTTTCTGCATCTTTTGAGATGATCGTGTGGTTTTTGTTTTGAGTTCTGTTTATGTGGTGAATCACATTTTTTGGTTTGTGTATGTTAAACCAACTTTTGTCCCAAGAATAAAGCCTACTTGATCGTGATAGATTAGTTTTTGGTGTGCTGCTGGATTCAGTTTGCTAGTATTTTTTTGAAGACTTTTGTGTCTATTTTCATCAAGGATATTGACCTGCAGTTTTCTTTTTGACTATTTTAGGTACTTTCCGTGGGTGGAATCATGCAGTGTTTTTCTGTGACTGGCTTCTTTCACTTAGCATCATATCCTCAGGTTCAGCGGTGTTGTCACAAATGGCAGGATTTCTTTCTTGTCAAAAAGCTGGATAATATTCCATTGTACATGTATGGGTGTGTATATATATGTAATAGATGTGCAACATATACACACATCTATTACATATACACACACACATATAGAGAGAGATCACATTTTCTTTATGCAGTCATCTGTTGATGGACATTGAGGTTGTTTCTATGTCTTGGTTATTGTGAATAATGCTACAATGAACATGGGGGTGCAGATTTTTTTTTGGAGATCCTGATTTCTATTCTTCTGGAGATATACAGCCAGAAATGGGATTTCTGAAACATATGGCTATTCTAATTTTAATGTTTTGGAAACCCAAATACTGTTGGCCATAGTGACTGCACCATCCTACATTCCAACTTACAGAGTACAAGGGTTCCAATTTCCTCACGTCTTCTCCAACGCTTGTTATCCTTTGTTTCTTAGTGATAGCTGTTCTCATAGAGGTGAGGCCATCTGGTATCATCAAAACAGAAGAACCCTGGCCCTGGAAGCACATTAGACAGAGAAGAGATGCTGTCAGTCAAGGAACATGATTCTCACCTCCAGTAAGCTTGTGAGTTTTCTCCTCGCAGGATCTTGGAGAATCCATCTCAAACAACTGGACAGATTTAAAATTAGTCTTATTATTAATCCGTCTTTCAGAAGTATATAATTTCAAAACCAATTTGAAATAGATCTTGAAATTTGCTGTTAATGAGACTAGCATGAAATAGGCAGATGCAACTGTGAATGTCATCTTCCACAGTGGCTCTCTGAAAAAGTGATGGATATGCAATTAGTTTGATCTAATTATTTATATTTTATTCATAAATCATAACATCACTTTGTACTCCTTAAATATATACAACTACAATTTGTCAATTTGCAATTAAAAGTAAAAATTAACAACAACAAAAGGAGAAATGGATATGCAGTGTTTGGAGGAATCATGGTATTTCTTCTTTGCTAAAGAGATTTTTGTTTTTTTTGTTCTGTTTCTATCTGTGAGAATCAACATTTTAAAATCACTGATTTGCTTGCTTGTATGCAGCAGCCTTGCTTCCCCCTTCTAACATTTATATTCCCCCCTCCATCCCTATGCCCTGGTTCTGGCAGTCTCCTAGGTCCTTTTTAATTCTTCCTGTATATTTGTACTAGATTGTTTTTATACTGCTGATAAAGACATACCTGAGACTGGGTAATTTAGAAAGAAAAAGAGGTTTAATGGACTCACAGTTCCGCGTGGCTGGAGAGGCCTCAAAACCATGGCAAAAGGCAAAAGGCACGTCTTACATGGTGGCAGACAAGAGATAAAATGAGAGCCAAGTGAAGGGGGAAACTATTTAGTAAACCATCAGATCTCGTGAGACTTATTCACTACCATGAGAACAGTGTTGGGGAAACCGTCCTCATGATTCAATTATCTCCCACCAGCTTTCTTCCACAACATGTGAGAATTATGGCAGTACAATTCCAGATGAAATTTCGATTGGGACCCAATCAAACCATATCACAATTGAATTCCATTCACATAGTTACTGAACACTTTCCCGACTCTTCTTATCAATGGGGACACAGAAGTGACTCAGAGTACAGACCCTGCTCTGTAATTGTGACAAGTATGGCAAGAAGAGGTGTATATTCAGGGACCATGGGGGATGTGTTGGCTTGGAGCCTGGGGGAAGGGCACCTCTGGTAAAGTATGGAGCACGACCAAGCACAGCCAGTGAAGAGCGTCAGTTCTGGGCTGGCACAGTGGCTCACACCTATTATCCTAGCACTTTGGGAGGCCGAGGCAGGCGGATCACGAGATCAGGAGATCGAGACTGTGATGAAACCCCATCTCTACTAAAAATTAAAAAATTAGCAGGGCGTGGTGGCGGGCACATGTAGTTGCAGCTATTGGGAGGCTGAGGCAGGAGAATGGCATGAACCCGGGAGGGGGAGCTTGCAGTGAGCCGAGATCATGCCACTGCACTCCGGCCTGGGCGACAGAACGAGATTCTGTTTCAAAACAAACAAACAAACAAACAAACAAACAAAAAAACAATAAAAAAAGAGTGTCAGTTCTGGAATTAGACACACCTGCACTGAATTCCTGCCCCACCACTTCTTGTGTGAATTGGGCACAGGACATAACATTACTTATGGTGACTGCGAAATCATGATGGGAAAGGTGGCACACAGCACATGCTCAGTGCATGTCAGCGTTCACCATGATGATGATAAGGATGATGATGAGGAGGAGGAGGAGGAGGAAGAACTGCTCCACTCCAGCATGCCTCTAAACCTGCATGGGAGCAATGCCTGGCAGAGCGCTCCCACAGACACGAACTTTTCCAGTTCCTGTGATTCACATCCTTATTTTGGTTTCTTATTATATAATACCCAGCTCTTCATTTTGCCATTTCAAAATTCCCCAGTGCTCCTACCCCTCTTCCTCGATTTCCTTCTTCCATGAGCCTCTTCCAAGATCTCTTCTATACCTATGCAAGCACAGAAGTAAATCCCATTTTGTTCATTCTGCTCCCCTAGAAGCCCAGGCGAGGAGCTAAGGAACGTTCAGTCCTGCGCCTTCTACTTCATTCCAGGAAATTCCTGAGAGGAATGAGGGGAAGGCATAGGTGAAGCCAGTAGACATCCAACATGTGGTGAAGGCACTTCTGTCACTGTCCTTGGAATCACAAAATCTCAGGACTGAAGGCAATTTTCAGTGTTGACCGTTGGCTAGTCTAACCCTGGCCTGTGCTGAAACCTCTTTACAGCCCCCCCTTAGGAGAGACTATTCTCTTCAGCCAGACACCCAGTGCTCCGCTCTGACCCTGCTGGGACTGTGGGTGAAATATTATGGCCACGGCTATGTTGCCTGGAAACGAAACTTCTATGATGTCAGAGCCCAACCATTTGTATGTTGAAATTCTGTTGTTTGAAATTACCACCTGGAGGAAACATCCGATTTTCTACTACCTTCTTGAACACATGGGAAGCTACAGATAATTCATTGTGTTAATATCAGATGCTTTTGATGCATAAGTGGTAGGAGAGACTGGGAGTCAGTTGGATATGAATTTAAAGAAAAATAATCGGTAACACAGAACTTGATAACTTATGTTCTTATAAACATGGAACATTATAAACACAATTTCCAATTGTCATCACCCTAAAATTTGTATTGTATATACCAGGGATGACATATATTAAATATTCTGGTCTATTTTTTGTTATATATTGAAACTGACCTGTAATAATTTTAATGTTATAAATGAACACAGAAATGAAAAGTTTGTACTTAATGGGAAGAGAAGCATCACTTTAGATATTAAGAGCCTTTGGGTTTTTCTTGTTTTCTGTGAAGAAAGGAGCAATCTGATTATTTTCTGGATTTGTATTTGTTTAAGAAATCAATTCATATCTTAAATGTATCCTATTGGGGTGAACAAAATATGGCAGATTTGCTCAACAAACAGGTTCAGACATTGGACATCAAGAAAAAAATTAAAATTCAGGTGTAAATTAATCTTTTTCATCTTCTTGGCTTTGTACTGGAAGGAATTTCAAATAAACATCATCTCAGCCTTTTCGCATTTGTTGTTGTTAAAAGCAAAATATATCTGCTGGGAGGATAGGTAAAGACCGGTAGACAACTCTGGGGTTGATGAGGTCATTGTTAAGGAGACGTCTTTTGTTTGTTTGTTTCCAAAAATATTTGACCACCACCATATAATGTCATTCTTTCTAAACACACAATTTGTGATTGTCAGCAAATTTTCTTTAATATACAAAGGAATGTACCCAGGTCCAGGTCCCCAGAGAATTATGTGCATGAAAGCAATATGTAAACAGTGGAACACTTGATAAGTGTAAAGGGATATTATTTCCTAAAATCCATCTCGTTGTTTTTAAACAAATCAGAAAGGGAGAAAATGGCTGGAGAAGAGGGAGATGGTACAGCAAGCATGACAGGAAGTCCGGGGAGAAGCTGACTGGGATGGTGCAGACTGGTCTGCTTAGACTGTGAGGCACGTTTCGCCTGGTTCAGGGGCATTCAGATACAGCATAGGATGGGAGGCAGACAGCCAGTGAGAGGATTCTGGAGGAATCTGTGAGGACTGTTAGAAAATATCGCAGCCTCATTCTGTATGCTCACTGTTTCTGTCAAACACAGACTCCAGGATTGGAAATCTATTTATTTGCTATCTATCTCAGTTTTGCTTGATCAGATACTTTGGGAGACCATGTTGGGGGTGGGAGGTGGGCATGTTTGATGACCCCAAACCTGCAAGATGAAGAATGATTTCTTAACCCTGATCCATTTAAATGGTTGATTTTTATGACAGCAACTTTCTGTCTTTGTGTTTTTGGGGTTTGCAGGGCTGCTGCTCTGAGAGTTGCCTTACAGGCACCGAGATTGTTGTTCAGGTAACCATCACCAGAAAGTGCCTAGGTTATGGGCTCATGATCTTATGACCTGGCTTTCTACCCACCTGTGATTTTAAAAATAAGCTGTTTTTACTAAAATTATAAAATTTGCAAATCTCATATAAAAGGGAATATCTTTATCCCATGCAAAAGGATAAGGGTTTGGGGGACTCCCAAGAGCTGGGTTTGAATCCTGGTTCTAGGACTTGCTGGCTGTGTGATCTTAAGCAAATCAGAAAATATCCTTGAGCTTGTTCTCTTGTTCATCAAATTCCAATGCTAATATGTACCTCAGACTTGTTGAAGATGCATTGCCTTATGCAAAAGTTAGTTATAATGATCATGTGGTGGAAAATTTTATTATGTGTAAGAGCCTAAATTATTTTGCACAAGCTCTCTCTATTACTGGCCTAAAACCATAGCTCTTTAGATTTATAAGGTCAGACAGTTGTGTTCTATTCAATTATAACTCTTGAAACTGTTGAAGAAGGAGAAAAGTCTCTCCTTGTTCAAGTATGAGAACAATGAGGAAAAAGAACAACATGGAGTTTATGAAAAGGTAGTCAGGACAAGGACAGGAAGGAGTATCTTGAAAACTCTGACAAATAATGAGTCTCTTAAAATGATTAACTACAAGAACCAAAAGAAACTCATGGAAACTATTTGGCATCCTGAATGGAACATAAAGATCTATGGACATTGTGACCATAATAAAAAAATTAAAAAATAGTAGTTGTTGGCATGGATGTGGTGAACAGGGAACACTTCTACACTGCTGGGGGGAATGTAAACTAGTACAACCACTTTGAAAAACAGTGTGGAGATTCCTTAAAGAACTAAAAGTAGAACTACTATTTGATCCCGCAATCCCACTACTGGGTATCTACGCAGAGGAAAAGAAGTCATTACATGAAAAAGATACTTGCACACATGTTTACAGCAGTACATTTCACAGTTGCAAAAACATGGAAACAGCCCAAATGCCCATCAGTCAACGTGTGGATAAAGAAAGTGTGGTGTACATATATACATGATGGAATACTAGTCAGTCATAAAAAAGGAATGAATTAATGGCATTCACAGTGACTTGGATGAGATTAGAGACTATTATTTTAAGTGAAGTAATTCAGGAATGGAAAAATCAAACATCATATGTTCTCACTCATACGTGGGAGCTAAGCTATGAGGATGCAAAGGCATAAGAATGACACAATGGACCCTTGGGACTCAGGAGAAAGGGTGGGAAGGGGCTGAGGGATAAAAGACTACAAATAGGGTGCACCATATACTTCTCAGGTGATAGGTACACCAAAATCTCACAAAGCATCACTGAAGAAGTTACTCATGTAACCAAACACAACGTGTCCCTCAATAACGTATGGAAATTTAAAAATAAAAACTAAAAAAAAATTTTAATTTGTATTTTATATAGAGCCATTATATAGTTATATTTTTATATAAATAAATATTTACATATTTTATATATAGCCATTGTGAAACAGATATCAGGCTAGGACAAAAAAACAACAGGATGAGACAAAATATAAGATGGGTAAGATTTTAGTAGGGTTGTAAAGAAATATAAAAAGGTGTAGCAGAATTAAAGCCCTCAATGGAGGCAAGAATACAAAATTAACACTGGAGAACCTTTGAGTCGATGCTAAGCACATACCTGGAGATCAGAACACAGAACAAAAAGATACAAAAATTGAAATCATCAGAGAAATGATGATAAGCAAACAGCATAGGTAAGAGAGGATCAGTCAAAGAACTAGGAGTATTTAGGATGGAAACGCCAAACTAAACGGAAAGCAGGAATAACTAAGGCTTAGTTGAAGCAAATGTTCCGGATTTGAATAAAGTAATTTGGTATATCGATCAGAAGTATGTTCACTATGTTCTAGGCAAAAATCAATAAAAAATAACTCATGTAGATTCACAGTGTGGTGGAATTTTTCAATGATAATGTCAACTAGAAAACCCTGTAAACATCCAGAAAAAATAAACTTACTAATAAATGAAAAAAAAAAGTCACACTAACTTCAGACAACTTTGCAACAGTTAGCATCTTAAAAATAGGGCTATCTATAGAGTTTGAGGAGAAACAATAGTGATCCAAGAATATATCACTTAGTCGTGTCATGTGTCAAGGCAATTGAAAGATATCCTCAAGACGCAAGGCATTAAGAAAATACAATTCAGAAAAAACAAAATACTTGGAGACATACACCACTTTAGTAATGACTCAAGAAGGGGGAAAAAACACACACACATAAAAAACGTACTGTTTTTTTCTTCCTGAGTTCAAATTCAAATTCAGAGGATCATGTTTTCAGGGTAAATTCTCCTACGGTGCTTCTTTCAGAGTTTTGTTTATTTGCTTGCTTTATCTTTGCCATTTCTATGTTCTTAATACAAGTAAATTTATATCTTGATGTATAATTTTTACTCCCAGATTCATTTGGAATTTTTTTCTTAGATTTGGTTATTAATTAAAATATTGAACACTAAGCTATAGCACTAATGCATTTTTTTGACATTTGGTTAAAGCTGAACCTACCTGCTTGGGATGCTTTGCCAGAGGAATCACTAATCAGTAAGAGTAGTGATTTGATTCTTCAGAGCATCAGACTTTGCTGGAACAATCTAATTTAACCTTTGGCTGGGGAAACATTTCTTAGGCAAGAGCCAAAATATGTTTAATGTAACGGAAAAGATCAACATGTCGGACAGTATTTAAAATCAAAAAACTCTTCATCAAAGGACAGCATGAAAAGAATAAAAGGGCAAGCTGCAGAGTGGAAGAAAATTTTTGCAGCAGGTAGAATTGATAATGTGCTCATATTCAGAATATATAAAGATTCCCTCCAAATCAGTAAGTAAGAGATAGCCTCATGAAAAACAATGGGCAAGAGATGTGAATGGAAACTTCACAAAGGAGAATAACAGAATGGTCATTAAATGTATGAAAAATGCTTTACTTTCTTAGAAATACATAAAATGATCATCAAAACCACAATAAATACCACTACAGAATTCACAGTATAGCAAAAATTAAGAAGGCTGACATGCCGAGGTATTGATGAGGTTATGGAATGGAAGTTATGGAAAGCTCTTACATCTGGTGGGAGTGTAGGTGGTACAACCACCCTGAAATACTGTTAGTATGTACTGAAGGTGAAAAATACTCTATGACTGGCAATTTTACTTCCAGGTTATATTTAGAGAAATGAATGTAGTTGCACTCCAACAGACTTGCACAGGGACAGATAGCATTATTCATAATAGCCACAGATTGGCAACAACATCAAATGTTCATCAATAGTAGAATGGAGGAATAAATTATGCTATAATCATACTTCTAATGGAATACTACGGCAAGAAAAATAAACTACAAGTACACACAAAGCCATTAATAATTTTATGTCAATAAT